CAGTCTTCAAACTCGCGCACCACACACGCTCCACCATCAATCCTTGAGCGCAAGATGATACCCTCCTCGCATGCTGACCAACAGCACCGCAAGTAGCAGCAGCAGCAAGCTGCCACCAGTGCCACAATCTAAACGATGTCGAACCGTGGATAGCGCTAGTTCGTGTGTACACAGAGGGAAGAGAGTGCTGAACTCTTCTCGCATTAAAAATCGAAGGCAAAATACCGCAGGAGAGGACGGTAGAGAGGGGCTCTTCTTCTGTGTGACCACGGGTTGGAGTAAACGGCACTAGTGCTGTGAGCGCTGATTTGAAGTGAAGACAAAAAAAAAAAAAAAACGCAGCACATATATATGCGTATGTGCCCTCGCTTTGTATGGCTGTGCAACCCTTCCATCGAGTTCGTGCAATAAGATAGGGTATTCCCAGCCCGCGCAGCTCTCAAGGGGCTCACTGGCCGTGGCTCTGTCTCTCCACATCGACACACCCAACTAACTGCCGGCCCGCGCAGTTCTCAAGGAGGCCACTGGCCGTTGCCCCAACTACCCATCTCCCCACCATTGCAAACCAGCACCGCAACACCTCCACAGCCTAGACTATTTGTTGTTATGCCGACCACTCAACTCAAACTCCAGGTCTGGTTTGTTTTTTGCTGCCAAACGGTTAGGACCCGCCACCATCATTTTACTCCCACAGTTCTTCCTGTTCTAACTGTGGGTGTGGGTGTGACGTGTGGGAGCGCCAAACAAAGCGGATAAGACCAGCCCTGAGTGGTGGCAGCTTCTACTGCACTCCGCCGCATGGAGGCAGGTAATAAAGGAGGTTGTTTGTGACCTTTGTCTTCATACATACAGTGGGGTGCCCTCTATAGTGCGGGTATGTGCCACACGATTTCACCCGCACGCACTATAGTGGGCACCCGCACTACATAAATTCGGGTCTGACTAGTGCGAGAATACGCACTATTCAGGGTTCTCAGTACCCTGACTAGTGCGGGAAGGCGCACTATTTGCGATATCACGGACATAGAGTGTACGTGCAGGATGAATGAAAGGCCTACTATCTATGCAGGTCGCACAGCAGTAGTACAAATAATAGTGTACGCAACAAGCGGGGTGAAATATTTCGACGGGACGTCTCAAGATAGAAGTCTGCGTTCGTTCGTGGGTGAGACGAGAACACAACAACAGCGTGTTGCGAACACTGCTGCATGCTGTGCAGCGGTGATACCACATCCAAGAACAGACCACCGGGCAGACGTGGTCCATGACATGTTGCGCAATGTACGCTGGTAGCAAAGGTGTGCTGTCCATTGTGTAGTGTTCTCCTTGTACATTATGAAATGTTCACAGGAAAATCTACCACTGGTACGAGGCAAGATCTCCCGAACGACCAACCAAATCACGAAAGAAACACGTCCGTCCACACAACTGTTCAAACATCTTTACGACCCAGAACTCCAGACTCCCACAGATACGACAAGGAAAGGGGGAACACCCCAAAAACGAAATTAAGAGCACATCAACGAGGACCCAGCCTATCAGCTTTTCCCCCACAAAACCTATCACTATACACAACGCCACAACGTCTGCGGGGATGGATGGCAATGCGTGGGTTGCACGCACGAAGAAACAAAAAGGGGCGTAAACTACTACTGTATAGCTCATCCAACACATTTCATGTACTTCAGACACCCGATGCATTCGGTACCAAAAGAGCGGTGCGGCAAATGGTAGTGGCCGTGTGACCACGGAAGACGTCCGCGTCAGTTGGACCAGTCAGTACGGACGGGTGCACTGAGCGGAGACCGGAACGGTTTTTAGTGTGGAGACAACAACAACAACAACCACAACCACAACCACAAAAAAGACAGCAGAAATTGTGTGCAAAACGCTGGTACCGGTGTGTGCTGCGTGTGTGTGCCTTTTAAACTGTGCGGGTTTGACCGCACTCAGAAGGGTGTGACGTCAGTACCCGCACTACTATTGAGCGTATGCAGGGGGGCAAAAGCCGCACTATAGAGGGGTGCCCCAAATAGTGCGGCACCCGCACTGTTGAGGGGTCTAAGTTGTGCCAGGCGATATTACGCACCTTATACCGGGCACCCGCACTATATAACCCGCACTATAGAGGGCACCCCACTGCTGTCCTGCTACAATTATTTTGACCTCATCACCCTGGCGACGTTTGGTACACTGGGTGGGCCAACGACAACGTAGCAGGCGCATGCTCACATCTATCTGCAGTAAACTACTGGATATCGTGCAAAGTGTGTGCAATAGCTTACATGTATATCTTTGCACCCATACTTGTATTCTGCCGGGTCCACGATTCTTTCATGCAGTGGGTTTCTCCCGCACTTCTCGCCCAGATCGTCCACGTTAACTCCGAGCAGCTCTCTTCGCCCCCTTTTTTTCGTGTTGGTGTTGGTGCTGCTGGCGTTGCGTGGGGCTTGGGCTATCGCAGGTTGTTCGTATGCTGTTCGTCGTCGTTTGAAGTCCACCGTGAACGCCCTCTCTTCATCCAAGAAATATGCTGTCTCCGTGGCCTCCGTGGCATTTCCGCGAGAAAGGGCCAAAAAAATACAATTAGCTACTAGGATGACTAGAGCAGCCGACAGGTGCATCGCCAGACAAGAGATTGAGCAGGTAAGGGCCCTCCTCCTGTTGGCTTCTTGTAACCTTAACGACACTGGGTGCTGCCTTCAGGGAGCACCAGCAGCCACCAGCAGCCCTACGCGTGTGTCCAACTTAGACGATACCCCCATCCAAGGTGGCACGACGGTCTGCTTGTATTATTGTGTACTCGCTTTGGGCCAAGAAAAGTTGGTGCGTAGGCCTGGAAGTTTAGGGAAAAAAAAAATACACACACAGAAAGAAGACTATCCGTTCGAGATAATATGCGTACCCACAGCAGTCGAACGGGATGTGGTGGAGTCTTTCAGTTAGTGGAGGGAAACCGGCAGGGTACTCGACTTATTTCGAGTCTATTTTAGTCTATCTATCTATGTAAACCAACCCAAACACTGATGATATAGTCAATATCAGTGATACATACCAGCTGGTGCTTGATAATTACGCACAACCACATCTGTAAAGGTAACCTACATTATACAATAATACATACATCCCCTGTGTAGTTCTCTCCTGGGTCAACGACAAAAATATCGGGGAGAATCCCTCCGTTATGTCGTGTGTCATAAAATGTACCCTTCACCGAGAACACGGCGCAATGATAACTTGAGTCTTTAGTCTTTAGATAGATACGATTTTAGGAATATTATATTATTAGGAAAAATATATAAACAGACAAAATCATGGAAGAGACTATACACATATGGTATGTACACACACACACACACACACGTAGACTAGTACGATATACTCGTTTTTCAAATTTTATCAATCAATTGATTTGAATTTTACCGGCGGTTGTTTCCCACCATTTTTGAATCAATACAACGACATTTGATCCTTTCGGGTTTACGCATCATTGATGCATGAGATAAGTAAGATCCGTATACAGGGTGTATGGTAAAAGTAGGGCATAGCAGTCCGTTTTTTCTGGAAGATCAGGTTTCACGTTTTGGCACGTGCGTACCACTTGGAAGTAGAGAAGCCTACGGACTACTTCCCGTTTCGGCGAGGAAATGGAAACGATCTAAAGATAGATGAAACAGGCAGGCAGGGGGAACGTGCGTGTACATCAACCCTAATAACTACCCCACGGATTCCCAACAGGATGCTGAAATGTTTGTGCACGTGTGCACACACATGCGTTCGTTGAACGTTCCGCGGGAGGTGGGGACCCTACCGGCAGCTGTGTGTTCCGAAGGGTATGTATGTATGATGATCCAGCGCGCACAAGCCCACATCACACACGTATCTCTGTACGATGGAGCTTGCTGGAAACGCATCGATTGGTTCGACAGACCACCCCTCCATCTTGTCTCATACAGCGAGCAGCCGTCTTCTGTGGGGGGGGTGATACATGCAGCGGCGGGGCGGGGCGCCCTGTTCGGCGCGACACCTTGCATTTCTACGCACTCTGGCCGTTCCCTACCCCATCCGATCTTTTTGTATCCCCCTACTTGTGCGGCTGGCTGGAGCACGGCATCTGCCTCATCTCATCAGCAGCCTTCAACACGGGTTCGATCTAAAGAGTCACTAACAGGCCGTACTGTAGACCTCAAGAAAGCACGACTGAACAAGGGGGAACGCCTGCACATCGCCCGCTGCTGCTACTTGTAACCATGTTACCGCTTCTGTCTATGTTCGGAATACCAAAAATTAATATGGGGAGCAGGTGGTCGGGATATTACAAATTACAATATACCCGCCCAGATGGTATCTTACTCAAGGAATACCTATAGCACAGCGTTTTCTTTCACACAGGGTTGTTGACTTGGCCAGTAAGTTGGCTAGATACTGCAGCTCTAGAAAATAAGGCAAAATAACGACTCGTTTGTAGCATAATTCCCAAGAAAAATCGATGTACATGTACAATTCGACCTGTGGTCTAAATAACGACTGCCTGAGCAAACACCGCAGATCGAGGAGCTCCTGTTTGGTGTGGACCCCGGCTTGCGCGTTCAAACCTATCGAACTGTACTGCTGAAGATAAGGTGGTAGAAACCTGTAGAATGCCTGCTCTGGCATCTTTCTTCGACTTTCAAATCTGAAAGGAAATACCAAGACCTTGCCGAGCTGGTGACCAGGAGGGTGGCTGGGGGAGTGCATGAGGCAGTCCATGGATGATTCCTCCACAGGGTTCGTGCCACTTGAAAATGCCACTGCTGTATGGCGGCCACTATGGTGCGAAAACAACATACAGCAGTGTGCGAAAACAACACAACGAACAACATCTCGGCCAACACATCGAGAGAACTGCAGCACTTTGCCAAGGGACAGGAAGAGAAGTATTGCAAAAAAAGGCATCGGCTTCATTACTCTTGCCTGGTCAAATTACAGTACCGTAAAACTGGCAGCACCCCGCGGCAATTCAATTAATTCGCGGCTGCCTCGCTTTCAGGGCGTTTTTGAAGGAGGGAGGATTATGGCAACATCAACCATCCACTAATATACAAGGGAAGCTTCGGGAACGTCCTCTTCCACCGGTGGTGGTCCTGATGCGAACCTTTGACGAAATATCATTGCTCTCCACTCCATCCTGCGTTGTGCGTGTGCAGGCTGAATATGCCGTCCCGCGTAGAGATCAAGCGCCTGTTCATGCGACAATTCCGCAGTCATAGAGAGGGTAGCCTTTCTCCAGCGGTGGTGGCAAGAACCTCGGGGAGCGTTGCCGGTAGCTTCATCTCTCGCTTCACCACGCATCGCATGAGGTGATACGCGATGGCCCACTTCGCCATAATAATGAACGTGGCAGGTCGTTGTATTTTTCAGTAAATAAAACAGCGGGATACGCACAGGAGAGGGTGGGCAGAGAGGGTAGAAGTGGCATGGAGAGGGAGGGACGGTCAGTTTGTCTCGTTCGGCGGCTTCTTCAGGACGCACTGCAACTCAATCCTCATCGCACGACACCCTCCGTCACACCTAAATACCACCTCGAAGCTTGTATTAGCAATACAATTTCACGGGGCATATCAAACATCGGAAGAGTGGCAGTCTGAAACGAGAAGCTGCATGCCATGCGTGTTTGTACGTAGCCAAGTTGGAGCACGGGAAAAGAGGGGATTTGGCCCTTCCTTGTCTATGTTAAAGTTCCGTAGGGATTTGTCGAATCGCCCACCGCGTAGATTGGAGTCCTGCCAACTTTGGTGTCCGTTAGTGTTCACCCCAAAACCCTACGATTCGACGCGGAATAGTCTGCGGGCAGTCCTCACCTCCTCCCTAGTAAGTCGGCCATCCCGATCGATGTCAGCCATCTTCCACAGGTCTCCCAGCTGAGCCTCCCCGAGACGGTTCCCGACAGCCTTCTTGAGGACTGGCCTCGCCTCCACGCTAGACAGAAGCCCATCACGGTCTTTGTCCAGCTTCACGAAGGCCTTGCCGCCCAGGGCGCCGGAAACGGGTTTCACGATAGAGTTAGGGATGAGGTTAAGGTGGAGGGGCGAGGCTCCGCGTGATCAGTCCCGGCCCATGCAATGAAGTCAGGCATTGTCGAACAGATTTTCGAATCTGTGTGCAACGGTGAGAGCCAGAGAATCACGGCCATAGGCAGATGTTTCTTTTGTCTGACCTTACCAAGTTGTGTACAGCATTTCAGGAATATGAAGTGCTAGGGCGGGCAAGAGAGACAGAACTTGGGCTGGGAGTGAGTCAAGCTATGAAGATGTGCGGCCCCACTAGAACGAACCCGTCTGTCACTTCCTAACAAGGCCATCGCGGCACACACGGTGTGGAAGTTCACGGGCGGGGGCGGGAGTGCTCCATGCGTATACGGCGTATGGCACTATAGCGGCGACGACCCAGCGCGAACGTCGTGGACATCGTGCTTTTGCACGTGGATGGGATGGATTCCGTCTTCTGGGCAAAAATATACTGCTCGGGTACCCTACTGCTATTCTTAACCTTCCAGGAGAATGGGAAGATGTGAGAGCAGCAACCTTCTTCGCTAGTGTCAAAAGACGATCGGCGTCCCCTACGGAGATCGGTACGTCGTTCGTGAATTTGAACTGGCAACGACGCCAAGAAAGCGTCACTTTCGCTAGAACGTGACAATCCCGGAGGTTGTAGCACGAATAGACTGCCTGCGCATGGGAGTTGCCTACACGCACGAACGGTTGAGCCACGTACCACAATGACAAATAACCACTTTCAGGCCGCGGAAGACGGGGCCACAAACATGTCACCTTGTCGTAAACCCGGCGGTCGTCAAGACTCATCGCCCACTCGTTGGGTGTGTCCTCCGCTAAACGCCGCACGTTGTCCGCCTGTGCCTATCACACCGTTCATCGAAAACCAATGAAACAGGGCACACCGATCATTTGTTTCGGCCAATGCTGTTGTTGTTGTTGTTGTTGTTGTTGTTGTTGTTGTTGTCGTGGTCGGTAACATTGGTCTGGAGTACAAAGCGGTGGAGCCACTGCCCTAGTGCCCCGGATTCTTCACTCAACCCGATGTACAAGAGGTACCCCACCCCCGCGTCATTCCCCCCATCACCATGAACGGAACAAGAATTAAACAACAAAACTTGTGAGACCCGGACAAACCAATCGTTGATTAAGTCCGGAAACTCAAAACGAAGCGACTGGGACATGCACCTATTGAACTAAGCGATCAATCCGAGCACCTATGGTGCTGTATTGGACTTGATCACCTGAAACCCAGGCCACGCACTGCTGTCCACGCTAGGGTTCGGTCCTCCGTGACCTCGGTCGATTGAAACACTTCGGGATTGTTGGAACATTTTCATCGTCCGTTTGCTTGAACGGAGTTTGGGATCAATAAGGCTGCTGCTGTGGCCTGGGGTCATACCCGTGCTCTGTCGTCCCCGCTTCATTCTCTCAATGCCATCGCTAGGTAGCGGTCTGCATTTGTCGTTTTATGACCATTTCCAAACTCTAGACACTTGTTCCTTGCTGTTGAAGTGAATATTGCGCTTGCCAAGACCACCGAATTCAGCCAGCCGAAGGACAAAAAGAACAGGGCAAGACGAGATCAACGGCAGCCCGGCTGTGACTTCCCGACAGCTGTGAAAAACCCTGTTTTTCCCAACCCTCTTTGGGCTTGAGCTGTCGTCGAGGCGAACTTAAACGAGACTGAATTGCCACCTGCCTCTCTATGCCGTACAACCAGGAGGATATTCGCACCAACGAGGAAGCACGTCTTGCGTGTTTGCCTTGGTGGTTCATGTTTGCTTGAGAAAAAAGCCACAACAACGAACCAGACAATGTTCACTTCATGTTGCTGGAGGAACAACGTTCATTGAGAAGGCACAGTTTGAGAGGGGGCTCCCCAAAACGTCTGGGTTCATCATCGACCCGGAATAGGAATCATCAAAAACAGCAGTCCAGAGCGAAACTGGGCTGGAATTCTAACAACCTTCGAAGTAGGTGGGCGCAGACGGCGGTCGGTTCGTTCCTTACCTTCGCGACGGCCGCCACAGCTTCAGCACGATCTGGTGGAAGGGCTTTGAGGATGTCGGGCAGCATCCCAGCGAGCTTGTCCCCGAACGCCTCCTGCAGCACGTTCTCGTAGTACTCCCTCGCGCCCATCTCACCCCTCTTGTAGGACGCAGTGGCGTCCTTCAGCCCCACCTGCGGAATAGGTCGGCGTCGCGCTGTTTTTCGGGGGGTCTTGTGGCTGTCGGAATCGATCGGAGGCGTTACTCGATGAAAAAACGACAGAGTTGCTACATGATGCCGTATCCTCTCTTACTGTGTATCTTACGTCAAGATAAAGCTCGAAAATGTGCACGAAGCCAGATGGTTGCTTGCGCGGTGTGCAGAACTCACTCAACGATTCGTCAGTAAGCAAAAAGAAACCAGTACATCCATGTCCTCGCCTGCCGCGGGGCCGGGCTCGTCGCCGACTCGCTGACGGCCTCGAAATCCAGTCCGGCCGCCTCAGCTAGCTCCCGCGCCTTCTCCGGAGGTAGCCTCGGGAGCAGTTTAGGCCACATCTTCGCGAGCTCTTTCTTTCCGAAAGCCGCCTGGGCGGTACGTGGAAGCAGAGGGGACAGTGAGAAACAGGAATGGATTGTTGCGAGTGAATTGGATCAATGGGCGTCAATCACGCGCGCAACAGGGAGCGGGCAGAGCGCGCAGTAGGTCGGGCCACATGTTGGGGTGTTCTTTCTCTAAAAACTCTCCCGAAGATTACAGGTTGACAAAGAGTGAAACCGCAGGCAAATATATGCGCAGCAGGAAGAATGGCATGACAACAGGCTTACACTGTTGGTTCAGCTGAAACGAACTAGCCTGTCGCTAGAACAGCTCTTCGCAAGATCCCCCATTCCACGTTCTTGAGACGGGGAGTGGGTGGTGTGAATGGGTACCAAGAACATGGCGTTGGGTATTTTTGCAGCAATGCCGCAATGTCAGGGAGAAAGGTTTGCGAAAGCTACCCTGATCGGCGCCGTTCCTGGGAGAGAACAACTCGCAAGACACACAACGAGGAGTAGAAGGCTGAGACGATAAACACGCAAAAGGCCGGAAGCAACTCGTGATGTATGTAGGCTCGAAAACATGTCACGGTGCCTTCGAGTCCACCTCACATGGCCTCAATACAGCGGCCATTCGCCACGTATGCCAATCGTTACGAGAAGCATCGTTCTTCGTCTCACATGGCTTGTAAAACCAACTCAGACGTCAAAACCATGCGCGCCACCAAGATTGAGGCTACCGATTGTCGCGACACTCAATTCACACCACTTGATGAAATCAGTCATCGGTACATATACCGTTTGTCTCTACCTTTACCCAGAGCAACCTCACCCGTAAAATCGGAAGATATTTCTCGGCCTCCATATCTCCGTTCTTGAACTCCTTCGTTGCTTGTTTGAAGTCCGGGGAGTATTTACTTTTCGACGTCGGTGTCGAAGGGTTCTTCTCTGGCTTCCTCTCTCGGATATTTTTAGGATTGTTCCCACCGCCAGGCTGGTCTTCTTCCGGCAGGGGCTGATCTTGGCGGCCGATTGGCGGTGTCCGGAGGCACTTGGGCAATTTTCCCGGCAACGGTATTTGCTTGTTCGTGGAGCACATGACTAGGTGCATCGCTACCGCCCATTCCTCCCTGTTCAGTCGCTCGTCTCTGTATGGGACGGCGTGTTTTGGCGATGCGGCTGCCTCCGTATCAATCTACTATAAAGACCAGGGTTGCTCATGTCTTTCGCCATCATGAACAAATTATTTTCTCGAAGTTTCTTCGTGACGCTGTGACACTGAGCACGAATACTGCCGACTTGCGTCGACCAGCATTACTCGTTTGTTCGCGTGAACAAAAAGAAAAGAAGACCAAAGACGACAACCACGTACCTGGGGAGGCGGGGGTGATCGTGTTCTATATGCGAAACAACAACCCAAAGTAGGAAGGTTCGGCCAAGCCTTCCGAATGACACTATTGGCGAGGTCGTCAGTTGCATCTACTTCTCCATTTTTCACGTGGAAGCATGTTGTTGGACTGAAGTATACAATATATATATCACACCTCAATCCTCGCTCACTTTTCTACGTCTGCCATCACCCAGATCCGTCTCAGAGACTCTCGGGGCAGGCCGCTCTTGGAGAGCGTGCTCGCAGCTTTCGCGGGGCTGATGGGGGCCCCGTCGGGGCTCAGCTTGGAGAACGCCCGGTCGTACCTGTCCCGCTCGACTCTCGACATCTCGAACAGGCCTGCGAATCGATTTGGCAAGCAGGCATGCACCACGGCGGCAAGGGAGGCGTGAGGTAACTTCCACCAGGAATCGAGACGAGCAAAATTGGCCAGGACGGCGGGGCGGAGGCAAAGACTCACATGTGTGTTTGAGGCTGCGACGGGCGGAAGAGGTGAGTTGAGACGAGCGCGTAGGCGAGAAGGGGGTAATAGAGCTTTCGTTGCCTCAGAGCATTAGGCATCCACTTGTTACGTGAGACGCAGGCTGAGATTCGTCTGTTGTTCCTAGGCACGGATGGGCAAGAACTTTGATTGTCGTTTGCGGAATGAGCGACCGACGAATTCACCCCGAACGTACGTGCCACGACATCTACGACGTGTACCCTAACTTGAGTCACATCGAACCGTTATCTGGATCTATTCATTTCGGGAAACGGGGAGTACGTAGATGGGGGGGCAGTTGCTCTGTCGCAGACTGATGAGCACTTGGTTTATTGCAACAGGTGCCAACGTGCGTGTCATGTTGTGTTTCCCTTACGTTGATCTCGTCAGGACAGCCCGAATCCTGCCGAGGGTCGACGCTGGTCAAGTCATCTTCGAACGTCACCTGGACTATGTAAACAGCTCTTCACACGCAATCAATTGCTAACATTCACGAAGAACGGATTGAATCGATTAGAATTCCTGAGGACCTCCGTTTTCCTCATCATCACGCTTCTGGTGTAGCCTCAATGCCTTACCTCCCCCCTCGACGTCAACATCTTCGGCCTCGTTTGCTGCTGCCGCCGACTCTGCCGCTGCACCTTCTTTGACCTGCTCTCCCTTCTTCTCCTTGTCCTTCTTCTCCTTCATCTTATTGCCCTTCATCTTCTTTGTTTCGCCCTTCTGCTCGTCTGGTGCTCTAGTTGCTGCTGCTGCGGCTTCTGCTGCGTCCGCCTTTCTTTCGCCCCGCCTTTTTTTCTTTACCTTGCGATTTTTGGCACCGTCCGCACCTTCCTGTGTAGCAGCTTCCACGGCTGTGTATAGATGCAGCGAAGGACAAAGCAAAGTGACCTTTAGGTACTTCGGTTGAGGAAGGAATGAAATCATGCATTGGCCGAGACGCGCATTTCGGAAAATATCTTCAACGATCTGCGCTCCATCAGTTTGTGATGTTAGATTCGCTGTTCTTATCAGCTATTGTGGTATCAGTACGGTTGGCAAGCGCACCAAACAGAATCTAGCTGAATTCAATTCTCAAAATTGCGAATTCCAGCAATTTTTGGGGAATCGCCGCTTGAGGTGCCGTTCGATATAGGGCGTTTATAATATGAGTGTGTCAATCTCTCGTACTACCCGTGGAAAACAGCAGCGCTAGCCGAAACCGAATGCAACATGTTGCTGATTCTTTCGTGCAACAAAGCCACACTCGATTTCAGCCGTACATGGTGGCATCCGTTATCATATGTGGGGATGGACTACTGTTATAGTGCAAGAAAGACCGACAACAACAACAGCAACAGTAGCAACAACAAAACCAACAACAACAACAACGGCATGAGGCAGCCACATACGGGGCATTGTTTTCGCCTCACGGCTGTCATGGCCCGTAGAGTCTGCCAGCTCCTTCCCGGCGCTTTTCCTCTGGGCGCCATTTCTGCTTTCTTTGCTGGCGGCTCCTTCGGCTCCGGCCTTCACGGTAGGCTCTTGTTCCACCTACACCCGTCGCGTTTTAGTGTATCACCACACCAAGACAGCGATAGGAGATGTAAGAGATGTAAGCGTCATGTCAGCAGCACGCACACTTGGGTTCACGACAGGTGTTCACAGAGCCTGCTGTAAAGTACGCTTTGTGGCGAATCAATTACCCTGGAAGCAGGATGGGATAGCCTCTGGAGCCATTAGACGGAATTTCGTCTTCAGAAACGTGGGACGGCCAGTTGTTACATATGATGGAAATTTCGTCGGCTACATTCTCAAGAGACAGTATAATAATGTCGTCCAGCACGTGTGCCCCCCCGGGTGCCTGAACTCGTCCTCTCGTTGGGGTACACAAAATTTTCGAGAAATCGTAGAAAAAACACCACCGTTCAGTTTCGGGGGGAAAGGACATTCGATGCTGGGTACATGCAACCGAGGGAAATCATGCACTTCAACTTTGTGCGCATCATACCGTTGGCGAAATATGTTGCGGGAGATGTGCCGGTGGACAAAGGATCCACTCTTGCAGCGAAAGCGGGTTTCTGGTGAGAGGATTCGGTATGTCAACAGCACACCGGAGTTCATCGGCGCCCGGGCGCCCTGGTAAAATAAACTCTGAATGATGATCATGGCAATATCTGGACCAAACCAATCGCGGGTTGAGGAGCCTGTAGATAAAGGTACGACCTCTTCCCTGAAAAACATAATGGCGGCCACACTGCACGGGGGGAAACGTGAAAGTTGTTCCAGACTATGTGGACACATCCGAAAATGAACGACTCTGAAAACGGTTTACGAATGTCGCGGCCACATCTCTAGGGGGCGTCAAGCAACGCACCAAAGTTGAAAATCAAGGCACCCTGCCGTCGGCCCCACCTCTCGCTCGTCTTTCTCCTGCTGCTGCTGCTGCTCGTTGTCAAGGGCCACCTTCTCCAACAGCTCCTTCTCTCTCTGCCTTGCTTTCGTCCTCACCCCGGCCTCTCCCTCGGCTTCGGACGCGAAGGCCTGTAGTTCCGCCGCCTTGCCCTTGAATTGACAAGAGATGCATGAGCCCAAAACGTTTCATTGGCGTTCACGATTAGAAAAACACATCAAACCTTGTAGAGAGAGAGGAGGCGTGTAGCGAGAAGAACGGAGAGAGAACGAAACGACCAAAGAATTCAAGCGCTATTATTTATCTGTCTGAGCAAGCAGGTTTGGGGGCATGAAGCGAACCCTTCCTGTAGCGACAACAACAACAACAACAACAACGCGACCGAGAAATGGGGCTAACTTGGCACTCTAAGGAGAAAGCATCTGCCCACAGTTGAACTCCATCGTTCAAGAAGGGGAGGTTATCTTTCACTCTGTCTTGTAAGCGGATTAGAGGAATGGCAGGGGTCGATGTTTGTTGCACTACATTCGGTTCGCCGAAGGTCCTCGTTCAAGATTGGGTGCGTACACTAGTTGACGAGTCTTTGAGTGGCAATCCAAAAGAGGAACAGGCCGGACGGAAGACGAGTAAGACGCAAAAATCTCGCCAAGTCACCCACTCAAAAATTACGTCACAATCTCAATCAAACAAGCACACTCTTGTCGTAGGTCAGCGGGTTAGCACGGTCAATGCTCATCAGAGAACAACAAGCAGAATCACGCACGTGACCCGTACCTCCCGGCACTGACGTATTTTCAGTGGTGAGTCGGTCAGCGCGGTATTTGTTCACCAATAGAATACACAAACAGACACGCACACATTCGTTTCTGCCGCGAACTACTGTCGAGGGCGTGTGCGCGTTGTCGCTATTCAACCCGCTGTACGACTGGCGTCTTGTGGACAGCCGGCTACACAGCGTGATTGATGCAAACAAACAACAGAAGCACGGCCAGAGCACCTCAGGGAGGACTCTGAGGATGCCTGGTAGAACGGCGATAAGGCGTTGTTCTCCGAACTCTTCCTGTCGTCGTTGGTTCAAGCAGGAAGGAAGGCGAAGCAACAGCAGCAGCAGCAGCATCATCATCAGTGCCATCAGGTTTGTTCGTCACAAGAATCACTAGCTTATGTCTGCTGCTCTGTGTTTCCTATTGGATATGCCCGTTCGTTGCTCCGTTTTTTTCCACTGCTTGGTCAGCTGTCATTGCAAAACCTATATTTCCGTACCTTACCATTGCTATCGCGAGAGAGTAGAGATCGTACCCAGCTCAAAGGTCGATTCGTGTCTCATGCAGGAGACAGCACAATTGCACAGTCATACGTTCGAAATCAGATGTAGAGATTTCGAGCAGTGAATGAACAACTACGAGATAGGATCCATCGAGGTGTTACGTATTTGTGCGTCTACGACGGTTTTCGGGCTCACGGACACAGATAGTATCCCGCAATAAACGTTAGTCGTTGCTTCTCTGTCAGAGAGAGCTCAGAAAGAGGGTATATACATGCGCGCCGAGGTTTGGCGAATGCCATCCCTTTCGGTTCCTCCTGAAGGTTGGTCACAAGCATCCCGGACTGATTGCTAGTTGCACTCGCACAAAAAGGTTGTTGGAGCAGACATCATGGGTGCTTTCATGAACACAGAAGAATAATCAACCCCCGACCACCAGGACGACGACCCCCACCACGATTGGAACCACCAACACCACCCCACCCACCCGCCACAGCAGTAAGGCCACCACAGCTATCACGACCATCACCACCAAACAACAAACAGCAAAGCAGAAAGGCTGCAACAAGCAACGTCGACTCCCACCATCATCGCCCCGAAGAAGTGCGGCGCGGCCAGCCTCCCCGCGGCAAACTCCGAAGTCAGCCTCTGAGCGTCCATCTCCATGCTGTCCCTCAGCTTCCTTTTCTGGGACACGGTTTCTGTCTTGTCTTTGTCACGCCCGTTCCTTTCATCATCATCGCCATTCATACCGACGCTTGGCGCTGCCGCCCTCGCCCGTACCGCCGACCCCTTGACGGCAACGCCGGGAGCTGGGGTGACCTCGGTGGGACCCCTTTCGCCCTTTCTACCATCTCGCGACGCTTTGTTGCTTGGCTTTACCTCCTCTTTTCCGTGGATGTCTACCGTGGCCCCTCCTGCCCATGCCGACGCCCTGCACAAACCGGGAGATCAGATATGTATATTATCTCGACAATGTGTGTCAAAAGTGCCGTACAATTAAGAGGAGAGGAAGAGGGCCCGATTTAGGCACAGGTCTTCACTTCCCGAGCAAGCACGTCCTTTACGGACAAGGCACATATGCCGCACCTTTCTTCCTTAGTGTGCCATTCGCCCACACTTGCGCTGTGGTTGAATGACTTTGACTAGGAGGGAGGCAGGCAAGAGAGAGCAGGTGGGGCGCTTGGGGGCGCTATTGGTTGAGGTCACGGTCAAACGGATCACCCCGGCGGACACACGGGGCAAAATGTTGAGGCAGAAGTAGACCTTGTTGAGCAGCGGGGGGGTGGGGTCGTCTGCGGTATCGCCGGTACTGAACCTGGGTGGATGGTTGAGCCGTAAAAGCGCCTTACATCTGGCAAGACGGAAGGAAGTTTCATGACATCGCTAAGTAAAACGAGACACGAACGCGAACATGTTCACCCGGCAGAAACCTAAAAACGAATCCTGTCTCCCAATCAGTGCGAAAGGCTCGACACGAATCAAAGGGACGGGTAACATGTGCGATGGTATTCTAGCGCGCATACGCGGATGAGGCAGCACCAGGCACCATCAACCATCCAGTCTCCCCTACCGGGTTTCGATTTAGGGTCCCTAGCACGCGCCCTATTACCACTGACCCTCCCTTTCGAGGCATTTTGGGGGGCGCATCTGCTGCACGAGGCGAACGAACTCCGCTTTCTCTTCTGGCCAACAGTTGTATACATTCTCACAAACCTTCTAACGGCAGCGAGTGACAGGCAGAGGAGCCAGAGGTTGACGTGGAAATTGAGGAAGGGCATGCCCATGGCAATCCGAAGCGTGCATTTTGATTACTCTGCCCTATCCGGGAAGCTGCTCCCTTCTCTGGGATATTTTGGTCTCACCAATCAGCCCATTGGTCTCACGAACTCACTCACGAGTCTCACTCTAGTGATAGTTGTTTTTAAGAGTTGGTCGATGTTCCCCGCCGACCAATGGCCCGAAGAAGCGACTACGTCAGCTCCCTTCTCCTGCACACATGCTCGCTACGAACTTGCCGCTTCCTTACACATCCAGATTCCACCAGCGAACTATGTACAAAAATATACGCGTGGCAAGCGGCCACGGAACACGCTCTTGACTAAATCCCGAACCTCATTGGCCCTCCTTACCTGGTGGTGAATGGTGAGTTGGGCTTGGGGGAAATCGGCCCCAGTTCGTCGTCATGGGCGCTGTGGTCCTGCTGGTCCATGCTGGTTCGCGGTCTCTGCCTCTGTCCAATAGCGCGATGAATACCAGGTACACACAAAACATTCGTGCCGTCATTGATGTAGCACATTCTAGACCAAAATTTCGAACCACCACGCCGTACACAGGTCCGTTGTCGTTGTCGTCGCACGTAGCGGCCATAATGCCAGGGGGAACCCGTTCACACAGGCGCTGAAAAACAGAAAACACAAATGGAAGAACACAAAAGGGAGGCCACATCCTTAATCCAAGGGCATCCGGACAATACCGACCCAGGTTGAGAACACTCTTAAGCAGGTTTGCTAGTACCGCGTCCCATGGTCACACGGAACGGGATGTCGTGCGCGCCTCTACAGAATGGCAGTTTCTTGTGCGGTTCCGCGCGCACTCGAGGAATTGACACGGATAGCCCCATCATGTCGAGATGGCGCTGACCCACCGAAACCCGTCGCGTAACGCGAGCAGAATTCTCCACGATGTAGACGAAAGAAGTACTTGTAAGATGCCGCAAGAGGCAAAAACGTGGGCTTTACCGCATGTTGCTGACGGGACCACAGACCAAAAGGTTGGGGAGCTTGTTTGTGTTGAAAGGAGGGTCCCCGCAAAAACTAGAGAGTAACCTCACCCAACCCGCGTATTTTCAGCAATCTCGGTAAACGCTTTTGTTGTCGAGATGCCGATGTTGGAAAGGTGATCCCAAGATTTCGTGGAGAATTGCACGACTCCCGATACACGCGCTACGAAAGAGGAGCGAAGAACGTAGACGCCACCTTCGCCTACGATCTATGCTTCTCCTGAACACTCGTGCCTCCAATCAAGGGCACACGGAGAACCCTCTTCCCGCGGTCCCCAAAGCAAACTAGTATCCTCTACTCACACATACCCGTACGCTGTTCAAACAGAAAAATCGACCTACTGCGTAACCCCTCATTTTTCACAAACTTCCGTCGCCTGCACCAACCCTACCCGTCCCTGTCGTCTCTGCACACGAGGCAAAATCGCGACGATACTTGCTACTGCCGGGCCACGCTGACACTTTGCTTTCCTACACCGCCATTGCGATGTGTCTTTGCTGCACTTCAAGGTTCTATGGAGCAGTATGAAAAGCGGTTGATGGGCACGATACCCGACCCTGCTGTACTTCAAAGTTCTACGGAGCAGTATGTATAACGGTTGATGGGCACGATACCCGACCCTGCTGTACTTCAAGGTTCTATGGAGCAGTATGTATAACGGTTGATGGGCACGATACCCGACCCGCTGTGACGGTTAGGGCACCACTTGCGCCAGACGTCCCTACTTGTAATGCTTTGCGTGTACTGTAAGTGGCGAAGGAACTCAAGATATGCACTTCACAGGAATTGAACCCTTACTGTGCGACCTCGGATCGCGACCTGTTCCGGTCAGAACGCCAACACCATAGCAGGGATACGTGGACGTCATCGGGATGAAAGCGGATAGAACACATCGGTTGCAGAACAACATCGCGCACTCACCACCTGGTCTCTGCCGCCCTTCCTGCCGCCGCCATGAGTCACACCAGCCCCCTCCACCAACCTTCCTTGCGGCTGGTGCTGCACCTTCTTGCCACCGTCTCTCTCAGCACGATCAAGGTCACCCTGCCCTGGAAGGCCAGGACTACCCTCGGCACCTGTGACCGCTTCAGAGGGCCCCGCCTCACCGGGAGCCTTCCTAGGGATGATTTTCTGATCTTTCACCGGAACGACGTCCGTAGAAACGAAGGAAGCCCTTGGATGAAGGACCCTCGGTCGTCGCAACTTTGTAGCGCTGTCACTGTCGACATGCCACTGATTGGCTAGCTCGCGGCGCTTCCTGTTGGAAAGAATTGCCAACACCCTCGGCAGTATATTGTCCACCTGTTCGTGTTTTTCCAGTCACGGTCAGGAGTGGGTTAGTCGTGTGGACGTTCTGGGTAGGTGTCGTCGAGACACATGCTGTCGGTGTCAATTTTTCGAGAGCCAACGCTGCTGCCAAGAAAATGGGAAGTTTTGGTTCATTACTGAAACGTGGTTGATGTTTCTTGGTGAATGTTGGCTTTCTTGTGTAGGAGAGCTCTTATTATGTAAAGTCTAGGAGACGCGTAGGTGCAGGCCTTGGGTCGGTTGTCTAGGGTCCCCGTAGCACAGAGGTTCAAGGCATCGCCACGCTGGTGGTTACTTCCCTCGTAGGAAGGCGGCAGGCGACGCGTGTCTCTCACGCCAAGTGGTAAGTCGAGAACTGTGGAAGCAGCACAGCTGGGAAGCTACGCGAATCACCGTGCGAGCAGATAGGCTAGAGAAGGGTTGGGGTATTCATCAATGGGAGGATATCACTTAGAGGGTCGTTTGTCCGAGATCGTAGTTCACTACCCCGGCTGGTGGTTGTCGGAGGTATAGATCGTGTTTTGACGTCGGGACGCCCCAAGTATCTCGCACACGCTCATGCTGCTGGGTGCGTGCTTCTGGCGGGCTCTTATTCCACAGGACACAGACTACGCAAACAAAAAGAGCAAACACTACAGGTCACGGTTGTTGTCGATATCCTCGCAAAAGCAGCAACCAAGAGATGCACGTTAACGTGGCGGTTGCCGCGGAGGTGGAGGGCACATCGCTCACTCTTCGTTAGGGAGATGTTCTCTAGGGCGAAGAGGTGGGAAAAGCACCAGCGAACACGGCTAAAGTGCGAGAGGTACTCTCGTTTCCAGCGCGAGGGGGGACGTTTGACGTGGATCAAGCATCTGTGTGCCGCCAAAACAGCAGCAGCAGCAACAACAACAACAACAACAACGACGACGACGACGACAACAACGACAACAACTACTACAACCAACAATGCAATTTTCGATAGTATCAACATGTCGTGATGAACCTCACGGACCAGCGCCATAGTTAGCACTATACCTGGTTGCCGAAGGCGTCCGACAGAACTGTCTTCAATTCGGCAGCGCTGATCCGGTTCTCCCTGTACTTGGCTACGGCCTGATCCAAGTCACGACCGGTCCCAGCGCTTGTTGAAAGGTCGCAAGAATCCACGGAGCCCCCAAAGGAAAACACCGATGCCACCGAACTGCAGTCGCACGCAGAGGAGGAGGTGGCGGGTCGTTGGACGCTCTAGGCGTATGTTATGTCGTGATGCACTGTTGCATGTGATTTTTACTCGTGCGGTGGTGCCCTGCTAGAAAATAGACGTTTGAATCACAAAGTTCCGGTTTCTGGTTTCTGGCGAGCGCACCTCAGAGGTCTCTGATCGGCAGCAACACGTCGTGAACGAAATCCCCCTTTCCGATGGATGTATTCATATGAACACAACCACTCCACGTCTCCAGAGCGACGAAGAAGACTGCCACGGTCTGGGGCGCTGCGTAGCCACTGGTTTCCAAACTACCAATTCTTTATTGCCCACCTGTCATCTCCTTGTCCCGGCGGCTCGGCAAGAGCAGTCGATTTTTTCGTGTTCCCTTCGGACGCCGCCTCCGCACGACGCTGTCTCGATCTCCGTAGCCTTTTCTTGTTCAGCCTTTCTTCGTGCCGCCGCTTGCGGTGAACCTCCATCAAGGACCATGCCTTTTCCTCGGGCATGCCTCTGGCCACCCTGGCGATCACGGCTTCTTCGACTCTTCTCCCTCCACCTTTCCGCTCCTCCACTCCGTCGACCATCTCGTCATAGAACTGTTCCGCGGTGATGGAACCACGGAGGTACTTGACCGTGGTCGCTCGAAGGAAATTTTCTTCATCACCGTCCCTGTGGCCGCCAGGGGATAGTTTGCCTCTTGCCCCGGTCGCGGAATCGCAGCTTGCTGCTGCTACAGCGGCGCTGGAGAATCGGGGTACAGAGGAGAGGGTGTACTAAAGTTTTTTCCCTATATCCATCGCTTTTGGCATTCTCAAGCGGCTCCGGAGCGATTTAGCCTAGAGAGAACAACTCTTGACACACGTGTGTGGAATTGGAGGATTTGTGGCAATGGCACCTTGTGTGCCAGCGCATTCCAACCTGCACAAGGTTGATGCCCGGTATGACCTAAAAAGAGAAAACAGCGGAGTTCATTGACCCGCATCGATGATACGCCTCGATCGCACCTGTTTCCCTTGGTGTCTTCCTTCGCCATTGCCAAAGCACCTGCTTTCGACCGGTCAACGCCACTCTTGGCTGCCTCCAAGTTTTGAATCAGGTGCGGATCATCTGAAGGAAGAGCGGCCAGCACCCGGGGCCAAGAAGCATTCAACCCCTCTCCATGAATGCGCGTCAGGACTACTAAAATATCATGGGCACCTAATTTGCCCCCGGCGTACAGTTCCCATGCCGTGTCAAACTCGAGGGTGTCATTAGTTCCGCCGCCGTTCACTTCGTGTCGCGTAGATTCTCCGGTCGTTGGACGCTCGGCAGCAGGCGCTTGCGCCACATCTTTCGCTTCATCCTGAGCACCTCCTTCTTCCCGCGAATCACTGCCGAACGGCTCACTCCCGTCACTCTGCGCTTCGACGGCGTTCAAGGCGTCTTCGAGCAGGCGGTACATTGGGGATCCATACGTAGCCGACTCGTCCATCTCTTCCACGATGTCCAGCAGTTCCTGTCCCCGTGAGCCGGTGAATGTTTTCCGGTCGATGTGCGAAACGGGACAGTGGTACAATTCGGGTGGACACATTAAGGCGGGAACAATCAGGTCCGGCGAGTGCGCTAGGATATACGCGTGGAACTAGAACGAGACCAGGTGCGAGTGAGCGGGATACATCGCATGCCATCACAGATTAGATGTTGCCCGTGCCCACCACTGTTCCTCTATTCACTCTCCGAAAGTATCCATGCCGAAAAGAAAAACCGTGGATAGCCGTTCGAAGGTTATTGAGGGAGTAGAGTGCGACTCGACCAAGCTGCACCCTACATTCGAGTGAACTAGGAACAACGAGTAGACCCCTCAGTGGCACTGTTTGCGCCTGGTTTCACCTACATTTGACCTGGACAGAACCCACAATGTTCCATGCTTGTTTTCACGATATCGAAGCCAGGACCTACCAAACCGGGAAGTAGAGCGTAGCCCACATACATCGGAAATGAAGTTGGCAGGCACCTCCCCGATGCCCTTCGCGTTCTCCAAGAGCCACTTGAGGACATTTGTCCGCCCCGCAAGCGCGGCTAACATTGCAGGAGTTTGCCCCCGGTGATTTTTCTTCTTTATATCTCCACCCTGGGACAGGAGGTACCCGAGACACTTCAAGCGGCCGCCGTAGGCAGCAACGTGCACGCCGGTGTTACCTGTTTCCGGTATCTTATTTCCGTTCGCAACGCAGCAGAAGGGAGAGGTGCGCATTTGGTCTAGACTTGATCGATGGGCGTGTGACAAGCAAGATCTAAATACTGCGTCAAGGGGGCATGAAAAAATGAAACAATGAGAGCTTTCCCGTCATAAAGATGTCGAGGGAAGTGGCAGACGTTTGGACGTGATAGTCAGAATCACTACCAATACCATCCGCACGAGCATCACCAGCGGCGACAACTGAAAGGACAGCAGGTTAAGTATTAACTTTCCCACTTTGTTCGATTAAGTTATCCAAGGTGTGGCACCCGAGAATTGGCGATCCTCCACACAATACAACACCAGCAATCCATAGATCTTGTTATACAGTAAACTCCAAGGGCATCATAGGAAACACCAAGTTTCCTGCCTCAAGTACCCTGCTTGAACGTTCTCGCACCTCCTCGAATGCGACATCCATGAGCAGACGGTGGTGCACGAACTCCAGCGGGATAAGGTTTTCCGACATCGCCGCTAGATGGACCAGTGTGCGCCCCTGCAGTTATAAGCCCAAAAGCGCACCAGAAGGCCAGGTTTCAAGGAATGCCGCGGGATTATGTAGACTCTCATTCCCTCCCACCCCCAGACGCAAGGCATTCCTATCAAAGTACGTCTTGGGCATAAAATGCCCTCCTTCAGATGGATAAATCGACCGTGAAGCGTGTCCCTAGGTTGGATGTTGTTTTACGCCGTCTTCCTTGAACAACCTTAACACACGCTGGCATGGAAGGGCCAATATACACCCACGACATAGTGAACCCTATCCATGAGCAATCACTCCACCAGGGCTCCATACTCGCGTCTGGGGTTCGCAGTACCCTTAGCGCTTCCGCACCAACCGCCTTCAACTCCAGCTCCAAGCTCAAATGCGTACCGTGCCGAAACAAGTGGATCATTTTCTCCAACAGCGCCAGCGTCGTGGATGGGTCCAGTTCTCTCCCTCCTTCGACGCGCTCCTCCTTTTCATCTTCCGCTGTGCCCCCGTTACCCTCCCCGAGAGGCCTCCCAGTAACCGTTATTGGGTTAGTGGCGGGCGCGTTTGGGCCCGAATCAAGATTGGTTTGCTTGGCAAGCAATCGTGGTCGGTCGTTGGTTGCCAAGGTTTGCTGTTCTAAGTCGAGTGGTGGCGTTGGTAGGAAGCCAAGCGTGGAGGCGGGAAGAACTTCTTTGACATACTCCCCAACACGCTCCTGAAAAAAACCAGTAACCACAGTCCGAGGGGGTGACAAGGCGACACCAGACAGAGGCGAAAAAGGGCAAGGAGGACCGGGGATGACGGGGTGGACCATGGTCCCCGCCCAGAGACAGGAAAAATGCGTAGATTCATTGAAAGGAAACTTGACTCTTATCATCACTCGCCCAGTTCGTTGAAAAAAGGGAAGGCCATGCATACCCGAGAGCGCCACGTGACAGATCAAAAGAGATCTTTGACTAGCTTTCCGAACCTAGTGCAAGGGGCGACTGTTCAAACCGAGGAGAGCCTTAAAGGCATGAAAGGTTCAACCCAGGGAAAGTCGATTAACCCCAGTCGCAAGGATGCGTTACCTCCATAGAACCTCTTTCAATTATCGTCAGGTCCCCGCGGAAACAACTCCCCTCTGCCAACGCTTCTTCACCAACAATTGCACAGAACATATCAGGCATCAATAGCTCGGCGTCCCGGGGTCAACCAGCACGCTTTATTGGCCCTATACCTGTACGGCAAACCCGAAAAGCTGTCCGCCCATGAAAACAGGGGCACCGTGTACTCCGTCCAATATTTCTTGTTCCGAAACAATCACACGAATTGCTGTCCGTCCATTGTGAGCAGCAGGGCCCTCTCCTTTGCCCCCAACACTCCCTCCTTCACTCGCTGCAGTCCTTGCCTCCTTCTTGCCAAGATCGCCCGCGACACTTTCTCCCGCCCTCGCCAATGTTCTTCGCCCCGCACCTTTTTCGTTTCGAGGCCTGTCCCGTTCTACTCGGACGGCTTCTCTTGTTGCTGCTGGTTCTGTAGCGGTTCCCACCCCCAGTGACACCACGTCACTTTGCACGGCGAGGCGATGCGCGCGCTTGTTCCTCCCGTGCGCGTGCGCCACCATCTCCATCAGAACAACACCACCCTGTTCGACAGAGATGGAAAACGGCTTCACAGGGTCCGGGTCGTTGGGACGCCTGTATGCCTTTGTACCTGGAAACACCCCGCCTCGCCGGACCTTCTTGTCAGCCACTCCACCGCCGTACTTGGCACTGAAACCTGTTCCGGAATGTGTGTTGCGGTGTCGCCGCCGGTGTTGTTTTTTTTCAGCTGCTGACGTCAGCGCTCCGCTCCCTGATTTACAACTTTCGGTGGCCTCTGTGCGGTGCGTCCAGTGCACCCCCCCTGCCGTTGTTCCTGCAGTAGCTGTAGAAGCACCTACACCCGCAGCGGGCGACTGCAGACGTCCGCACCGCCAGAACCTCATGACTGTCTCGGTGTACTCTGCGGGTGCTGGTATGGCTGGCGGGATCGGCAACGGGGGGACGATCGGGCGATCGCACGCCGCGATGACCATTGACGCGTCCCTCCCCAGAGCCTCAAACAATACTTCAGGTCGAAGGGAAACCTTCGGCAGTAAGCGTGGTGATACCACGACCAGACCAAAAAGTGATTACAGCAGTCAACGTCGTGTTTGGGAGGGAACCTGAATAAACCTCGGAAGAGGTAGGTAAGAGGAGAACATAGGTCGACTGGGTTTACGGGTACACTGTCTGGGAAGATTACAACTTTGTGTGAACCCACTGAACACAACAAGACGACTCGCACTGAGAACTCTGCATGCCACGCGCGAATGAAACTTCGGGCAATGCCTGGTGTTGCAAGAACAATGTGTACCGGCGCCGTAGAAGATATGCCATGCCTCAGCTTGAGCTCAAACCGAGCAAAATATAGAAACCAAATATACAAGCGATAACGAGCTTGCTAGCGAAACTCTTCTTGTCCATCGAGGATGACAGTGCTCCAACACCCGGAAGACGCGGGCGAATGTGTGCAGAGGGTTGTGCATCTTGTTTGCGTGCTAACGCATCTGACCGACATACCTTAACAGGTCGTGGTATCCCAGGTAGCACAAAGCGCGCTGACGCGCTGGATGCGGCCACAGGGCTCGGCAAGAGGAATGCACCGGCAACGATGCAAGGGTGTCCTTTATAGTCCAACAAGACTCCAGTGCCCTTTGCGTGAGACGGGTATTGTATGCTGACCTGCCACCATCGTGCAAATATTTGTCATGAACACCCTCCCTCCTCATGTCAAAGTCGTCTCCACCCTGGACAGGGAACGCGAATTACTGTACGTATCTCGTTCTGCATGTATTGTACATAGGCCAACTCTTTTTCAGCTCTCAGCTGGGTGTTCAGCATACACCCCTGAGTACCGCTCTAAGTTGGGTGGTCTGTGACTGATATATTACGGACGTGTTCGGGACGTTTGAGTCCAACACAGCAGTACTTGCGTACAGCGGGAGTCAGCGGTTCGGGTATCGTCTACAATAGTCAGGCTCTGCAAGTACCTGAAAATATTGATCTAGGCTATGTATCAAGAATGAATGAATCGATGACTGGTGCACACGCGTCAAATACACAATTAACAGCAGTAAATACACAATTAACAGCAGTACAATGATTAGGTAGATCAGGCCCTTGCGCACGAGCAGCAGCATCGACGGGCTCTACACCTGTTCAAACCTGTTTATGTACATAAATTTCGCGCGGTCGACGACACAGCTCACCATACAGACGCTGTGATGATGAAGGTTCCTAGCCACAGGTCCCTCCGAGTAAGGCGTTGGAGACTGCATTGTCCATGGTTCGGGCAGCACCATGTTGTATTCCACCCCAGTCCTGACCTCATTTCGCGCGTTGGAGCACGCTCATTGTTGAAGGGGGCGGTCCATCTCACGTCTCGCGTATCCCGGGCATTCCGAATCGGCACCAAACACGCCGCATAGAACCTCAATACTGCTTTCAATGTTCAATGTTCCTGCAACAGGAGCATCCTGGCGTCGCCAACCCCCACCTCTCTCCCCCCCAACCTACACATCATGTCGGAAGCCGGAGGAAGATCAGAGTTGGATCAGCAGGTATGTCTCAATCAACCTCGTCCCCGATAGCGCGGCACCGTAAACCAAGCTTGCTTATTGATCCTTAATTACCCCGGAGACTACAGCAGTAGGTCTCGTACTTGTTGTACAAATCATGGGTATGAATAGCGCCCAGCACACCCAACCGGCGAAACACTATGTTGTCCGGGGAGCATACACGTACAGATAGAGTGTTGTCTGCGCATGTACCTACTGCTAAGTTGACTTCCCTCCTCTCTAGCGGCATGGTCGTCGACATGGCGGCTATCCACAAATTCAACATCTCCATCGTTCAAGAAAGGGAGGCTGCGGTGCTGTACACCGCATATCGCCTCTGGTTGAAATCGCCATCAGCGCGGAACTGAATCCTGTTTCGGTTGTATTCCCAGAATGGCCGCAACCTCTTTCGGCCCTTTTGACCGCGACTCGATTCATAACAAACTGCCGACATTGGAGCCTAACGACTTGATCACTGGATCATAGCCGGCACGGACTGGTTTGACCCTCATTGCATCCAATCAGAGCTTGTTCAACCAACACTCTACCTCTGGGTATAAAGGCAAATCGACTTTTTTCACTACCCGCGGGCTCTCGGGTACTCGTCCGAATACCGGGGTGAGAGTGGACTATCCCCGGGGTTTCCACAGTCTCTGTCCTGCCGTGGAGCTGCTTCAGAGGCACAGAGGCACGCTCTCCTTATCTTGATGTGTCGACCACGCGCACTATTCGGCGAGAAGAGCCCCTCGAATTCCGTTTGATGTGCATGTTCGTGGGTGGAGCTGTCTTGTTCTCTCTAGAAACGTGACCCCACTGATATAGGGGCTGGCGGAAGTAAAACCGGCCATGACATTGGTTCCTCCCACCCAACCCTGTTCCCCGGAGCGTCCAGTTTTCTGGAAACCAATCCTCCGGGGAATCCCCGGAATACCTAGCCGCCGCCCCTGTGTTCGGCGCACGCCTGGGCCACATGACCGTTTTTTTGTATCGTGCTTGTGGACTCCTGGCATGCGAATGTGTCACAGTCACTGCTGTTCCTATGAGCACGCACAGCAACGTGTTGACCACACAGAAACGATCTGGTAGCGGACAGATTTTCCCGCTCTCTAGAAGAATATCTTCGGGGATGACTTCCTGTGCCACGGGCACCACTGGCGCAAATTATCATTTCACCCCGCGAAAAGGCAGTGGATGGTTATTGGCGGGAAGAACTTGAGGCCAAACTCCAGGTGGCCACCCACCATCGGTAGCCACCAATGGGTAGCCATCAACCATCTTATAGGCAAGGCGGATTGACTTATGCTCGACAGAAAGAGATGCTCGTCAGATGCTGGATCAGCTAGTGAATCGACTGTTCTTCGGCTCGTGCCCA